TTCAGACTATTACATCCCGGTAATCATCATTTTATTCGTCTGTAAAATTATCCTTATTTCATGCATAAAATAAATAGCAAATCACACATGCATTGATTATAAAAAAAATTGAATAAAATGAATTAACAATAAATTATACGTCATTTTTTTTTAGCTATAAATAAATATATAATTAAAAAGCAAAATAACACAATAAAGACGGATTATATATATATCATATCATATCATATTTGATTTCACTAAAACTCGACTATAAACTTTTTCCATAGCTAATTTCGTAGCACCTAATAAATCCGATAGGTCATAGGTAGGTCCCATGACTTCTTCATACGGATATTTATTAATTGTTTTTTCAAGAAAGTCAACTGCTTGGTCAAGATGACGTGGAGCATAATTATGGATACCTTTTATTTTTTATAGAAAAAACAAGGCTTAGATTTTTCTTTTTTTTTTAATTAAATTTTTGTATTACCTTTTATTGTGAGACATTTACGTATTATTTGTTCGCCAGTTATATTTAACACAGAATGTGGATGAACCATACCAAGAAAAAGATATATACCGCCTGGTTTTAATAATCGAATACCATCATTAACTACTTCGGATACACCACATACCTATAATGGTGGTTGTGAAAATAATTTTTATAAGAGTGTAAAATTTACTTCAACCATAACGTCAATTTTATTTGTTTCTTCGAGGAGAATTTCGTCTAAAAAAAATAAATTTTTTTATTAAAAATATTTTTTTGCAAACATTTTTTACTCATTTCACAATTAAATTGAAAGATGTGTATATGACTAATACATGCTAGATATATTTTATACTCTCGACAAACTTTTCTTCAAGCAAGCAATTCAAGTATACATGTAAGAAGAAGAATATAACTAAACGCCGAGCAAAACAAGGCACATCTATGTGTTAATATATAATATTGTATAATACTTCTCCTGTCTAAATAATTAAGAAAGCAAAAATAAAATTAATATTTTCAAGCGTGTGATTAATCGACATAAATTTTACCATTATAAAGTGGTATTGCACCAAAACGATCTATGAATTTTGAACGACAAATACGAGTTCCTGAGCAATAGACTGTATCATATCCGAGCTCACGAAGAGCTGCTGAAGTATATAAACCAAGCATTCCATCACCCTAAACAATAGTACATCATCTTTCATAAAATATTCTATTGATAATTGAAAAGTTTAATAAGATAATAAACTGTTCTGAGCTATAGATCATGATTATACAGATTTTCAATATTGACAAGTATTTCATTAGACACAAATGTAAACAATATAAACTATGAGCAAACAATCTTAATAGTGATATAAAAAAGAAGTACATCTCTATCTAAATAAGAGTATTGCTATTAATAAGAAGAAAATAGTCTCAATTGTTTGTCCTTAATATGTATTCTTTGCACTTGTCTATGTCATATTTTATAGAAACTCAAATAATCGTTCTAGTTTTGTTTGGAACATTTTTAACTAAATTAATATAATGAAACAATATTTCGATTCTATTTTAAATAACCTATGTGTCTTCTGATCGAACTTTAAGGAATAAGCGTGCACTAAATTTTATCACATACATTTTATCTAATTCTTTTCAAATTTTTGATTATATATATAAAGAAAAATCAATATACTTGAACAAATGCTCGTCCATTTTTAATTTTTGGTACAAATTCCATTGCACACATTGTTGTTGCTAATGAACAATTAATGGGTGCTGCACATCGATCTGATATTGTATCAGGTATTTTAACAACATGAGTACCACGTCGAAGAATAATATGTGAAGCATAACAACCATTAAAACCCGAACCATCACTTAATTTTGCATGACCATACTATATATAAAATATGAGTACATCAAAAACAAAAAGGATTTCATCCTACTTTAAATAATTTAGTACATTTTTGGTTGAGTCCTTTTAAACAAAATTCACATTTATTACAACAATCAGCAACTGAAAATGTTAAACGATCGCCTACAAGTAAATCACTTTCAGGACGACGATGAGAAATAACTTCAACAACAGCTTCATGACCTAGCACACTGAAATCACATATAAATGTAGGGCAAATATTCTACCAATTTAAACAAATAAATTACCTAGGTGTTGGTTCTATTCGTTGACCTCTAATTGTATGTACATCACTCATACATATTGATGCTAGTCGAATCTTTACATAATACAAAAATTAAATAATTCTTATATAATAATATATATTAAATTACTTTAGCAAGAATTTCTCCAGGACCAAGTTCTGGTAATGACACTGTTTCTTCTGAAAACATTTCTGTAGACTGTGTTCCATTAAAAACAGTCCGCGCACCTAAGATGGAATCAGTATCAGTATCTTGATCGCGTGTCATTACTATACTATGCAATGCAGTATTAAATGAATTGTGATAACAGATTGAATAATTAATCCATGAGCGTATTAGATAGGCAAACGATAGAGGTCATTATTCGAGCAATTTTGCATATCAATGGTTTATGTATAAGCGAATAGAAATATCAGATTAAACGATCAATTAGATGGATCATTGATATATCGGCATTGGTAATGCTGACATAGATATGGATAGAACAACGTTTTTAAAAATTTATTTTCCAAATGGATCATTTCATGCTTTACGATATACACCATCGACAACTGTTTCAGTATGTAAAATCTATCAATACTACAAATCATTGATTTTTTTCGAATTGTTTACTTGTCTAGGATTTGATTCGAATAGTTTTGAAAGGTCGTCTTTCACCTTATGAATTATTCTATCATTTATCATTTGCTATTCGTGTAACATATGTTGGTAAAGATCAACAAATAAGATTACCTTCATCAAATACAAATCATATTGTTAATAAATGGCTTCATTCAAATATGACTATGGAAAAAGTACAAGCTTTATATGGATCTGCAGAAGAATTGAAGTAGATAAAATCATTTTCTTTTTTCGAATATTTAATAAATTTGTTTGTTTTCTTAGATTTGAACTTCGTGTACGATATTTTCCACAATCTATTGATGCATTTGCACATGATAAAGCAACATTTGGTTTTTTCTATGAACAAGTATATTGTAATTTTGTATTTATTAAGAAAATATTTTAGTGTGATTATTTAGCTTCGAATTGATTATATGCATTTCAAATGTGATCATGTATCAATGAATGATGCGATTGAATTAGGTTCACTTGAAATACGTAAACTTTTTAAAGATCTGAATTCATCAGCATTGGATAAAAAAGTTAATATGGATTATTTGGAAAAAGAACTTGGTCTAAGAAAATTTTTTTCGCAAACACTTCTTGATTCACAAAAAGTTTGTATATTGATATTTTGTTTAATATTAATAGAATCATTTTTGGCTTTATTTTAGCCTCGAGTACTTCGAAAATATATTAAAGCATGTTTAAAAAAATATGAAGGTTTAGCGGAAGAAGAATGTGTTAAACGATTTTGTTTTTTACTAAAAGAAGTTTGGAATTGGGAACAAGAAATATTCACATGTAATCTTGGCGTAAGTAAAGATTTTATACTATGAAAAATGTTTATATTTGGAAGAAATAACGATTATTAAATGATAGTTATTGTCGAGAATGTTATAATAACAGTGATTTATTAATGAGTTTGCGTTAACCCTCTCAGTCACAGTGATGTATATATATACATCCTGATGTTCGTTAATTGTTTACAACATCTTTTTATTGTTTACTAAGTGATGTTACACAAGTGCAATCCATCTTTCTCCTTGTTAATATCACATACAGATGTTCTGTCTGTTGATGACGCAGACTTTCTTTTATTCTAATGCATTCCAATACAATCACTTTTTTTTATCTTTTGTGTAAATGGCAGTATATAATGCATTAATTATTTTCAGCTTGAAATAATTAGAAGAATTTTGATAAAGTACGAACTATTATTGAAGGATCATCTGCAAGAGACTCTTCTATTTGTCTGACAGTTTGACATTTATCTTCACTTATTTCACACGCATCGTAATAAAAATAGTCTCTAAGAAAATACCTGGTTTACTTCAAATATTACCGTACAAAAATGAACTACTAAGGATTTTTGGCGAAAAAAGAATATGACTTGCTTGTAAAGAAATAAGGATAATATTTTAGAGTTTCTCATAATTTAACAATACTTGTCTTATCTGAAATAATAGGAGAAAGATACTACGAAGCCTATATCCATGTTGAATACTACAGGTCATAATATTCAAAATTTCAGTATAATAATGTATACCTAAGTTGGCATCTTGGGGTTGTGGATATTCATAAACCATACTCACTCTTTCTTCTGAATGTTTTTCTTAGCTTCTCATCGAAAATATAAGCTGATACTTCCATAATTTAATGTAAAATAGTTATACAACAGTAAATAGACAGATGATCAAGGGAAAGATATTACGAATCATTTTTTCTATTAAATAAAAAAAATAACGTGTGAAAATAACATACGTATCTTAAATTTACCTGTAATAAAATTGAAGTAGGTCATAAACTGATAAATAGGTCAAAAAATGACAAGTAGGTTAAGATATATGTGTGATGGTCGAGGAATACATTATAAACATTATTACTGATACTTCAACTTTAATGCTAAAAAGTTCATTATTCTACCGATACAATATTTAGATAACTGATCAAATGTAATAGTTACTGAACATGAAGTTTTATACATTTTTTTTCTATTATTAGGCTGAATGGGCAGTACCAATTAGTTTGGTTCTTGGTCCATCAGATGGTATCAGTTATCGAACACAAAATACTACTAAAGTAAGTTTTCATGTCAATTTTTTCAACATGGATTTATTTTCCTAAATTAGTTAACTAAAATGACTCCATTTGAAACTATTTTAACAATATCAACAACAAAAATTAGTTCAAATGATCGTGGTCTTATAAAATTAACAATTGCTGGATCATCTGAAGTTTGAATAGTTTTCTAATTTTAACAAAAAATTCATAAAAAAAAATTTTCTAGGTTTTAACATTTAGTTTTCCATCATTATCGGAAGCTCATGATGTAGCTATTCTTATAGATGGTTATTGTATGCTTGTTAATAGCAATACTCATTCTCTTTGGCGATCAAATATGGATGATCAACAATCATCAACAGCGGCAGCAGCAAAAGGACCAATGTCATCTGCTTTCCTAACACCACATTCTTCCGATTTTGCTTATTATCATCGATGTAAAATATTACATTTTAATTATTAAAAATAAAATTTTCTTCTCTAGCTAATGGAGTTGATGATGATGATGATGATAATGATTCTAATGGAGATTATGCTGATGTTTTATCTTCGGAATATCAAATTGA